CATTCTACCACGAAAGTGTGTGCGGTGGTCCGCAGCATGGGAAACCGCATCAGCCGAGACGTGACTCAATCCTGCAATAGCCTTGACTAGCAGAAGTGGCTCAACTAGGCAGTAGCCAATCAAAGTCTTCTACAATGTAAACTCGTCTCACGACATCTGACCAGTGTTTACCACTAAGCCCTCCACACGATCTGCAGCACATAGTCTGCCCGCTCTAACACTTTGGGTTCCCAACGGCACACAGAGAGACGGAATTCACTTCGCTCCTTGCCGATACCACTAAAGTTTTAGGCACTATTGCTGAGTATGGACAGTCGATGCTACCCATCCAAGGTGATTTATGTGCTAATAGCATTTTATTTGTGTCCAAAATCAGCTAAGTTGTATTTAGAAGTTCCCCACCGCCCCGACCTTTGATTCGATCGTCGGTCCGTTTTGTGGGGACTGCACCTCATCCTGTAAAAGAGTTTTTAATGCTTTTTAAAGAATATCTCTAAAATAGATCTGGACCGCTGGACCCTATTGCATGTGACTTCCTGTTCTAAACACTGGAGGATTGCAACCCTCCTTTTGGTAGCCATAGTACCAGCTAGCTTAATTACGGCGAGTTTAGTCGTAGAGAGCCCGAATGCATTTGCATTTAGGCAAAAAGGCTTGTTTTCCCCACAAACAGAGCTTGTACGCTCATTTTAAAGTGAATGGCATCGCATAACCACGTTAGAATGTTTTCAACTGGAAAACGCAATAAAATGCACCATTTTCGACCTTATTACTTTAAGCACACAAGTGATACGAAACCAACCCTATCTATGAAAATCTTCCAAAGTTACAGCCAGCTACCTTACTGTACAGCTCTAACCTACCCATATGCATACCTCTTATGCTTTGGCGAAATCTATACAAACTTCTGAAAAGGAAATGCAGGCGCATGACAATGTCGTGAGACTAACAGGAGATTTGTCCCGCAACAGCCGACGGGATCTCTGATGAGTTATGCTAGAGTTGACATGTGGATACATGTATCAAAGTCAAAGTAACTTCAAAAGAACAGGTCCTCATCTCATCCGCGTACAGCGGTTATCATTGTGCAGGCATAAGATCGACAGCTATTTAACCAAGATGTATTCAAACAACTGATCCATTATGATGCTAAAACATCTCATCGGGAAGCCATGTCTATTTTGTAACAAGAGTATGCGCTGTTCACGAGAAAAGAAGCTGGAAAACATGAGCAACTGGGTCTAGATTGCAGTTGATGAACGGATGACGCTGCTGTTGCCAAGGTGATGGAGGATGACCTAAGCGCAGTAATATTTAGCCCCAAAAACACAAAAGAAATAATGTTTGCATAATTAATATTATTTTATATTTTTTTTACAATTTTTTGAAAATAAATTTTTTTAAATTTTTATGCAGATTTGCGTACATTATTTCAACCTGAAAAATGTTATATTTCAACATAGCATTAGATTAATTTATTATCTTTTAGCTGCAGCAGCTTACTTTTAAGTATCATTACATGTCTTACCATTTCTTCATTAATTTATGTAGCAATTATTATGTCGTGTGCTCGTGTTGCAAGCAAAAGAGCCTCATTGATGTTATCAACCCGTTGTGAATGTCACCATGGGTTACCTTTATGCCATGTACTCCATGCATTGGCTACACATTCACTTTTATGAGTGCTTATTTTCTGCTCCTGTTGCGGCGCACAATACGAGTATCAGCTGTCTAGGCCAAGATGGCGAATTCGAATAGGTCGAAAGTTCCTCCAGATTCTGCATCAAATTTAGCACAATTGTACCGAAGTGTGTATACATCAGAACCGATGCAGCATCTGCCACTATCATGGAACTCTAAGGATCGCTTACTTAACATAAAAATTTCACAGTTTGGCTTAACACTGACGTGCACTGCTGATACCTCCACTTCCCGTCACAGTATGCACTGCAATGCTTTGGCTTATGTTCATGCTCAGATCCGATTACAGAGTTACCTACACTAAAGGCTGACCAGCCTATACCAATAAACGTTGGGATATATTACTTCGAAACCACTATTGCCAGCTTTAAGTCCAATTGGTAAGACTGAATGCTAACTACAATTAAGTCTTAGTACTGTTATGATTGGTGTCGCTTCAAGACGAGCAAGCAAATTTTCAGGTACTCACTCATTCTCTATTTTATTAGAAAGCATTCTTTGTGTCAGGTAGGGCTAATATCTGGTTTCTTTTTTTCAAATCGTGCTTGTGATGTTTTCTTTCTGGACTTCTTGTTCCCAGTAATTGATTAGTGGTGTCCCGAATGGGTTGTTGGCCCGAATTGGAGATTGTTTTGTAGCATGACGGGTTGCCTTTGTTCAGCATAATGGCCTTCTATTCCTTACATTTCACCCCCTGCTTGGACTAATTTCGGCGAAACCTCTTCTTTTGCATCAACTTCTCCGTTTTGGTTCATTTTCTTTGTATCGGTCTAGAACATATCATCAGCATTCTTTCAGCTCTTGTCTTCACTTGTTCGATTTTCGGTTTTTATAGGATGGGATTCATCTTCCTTTGGCTACCATAGTGACGGCTCGCTGTACCATCATACAACTGCAACTCCATTTGGCCCCAAGTTCTGTGAGCAGGACGTAATCGGTTGTGGAGTGGATCTCATGAGCAAATCGCTTTTCTATACCCGCAATGGAGAATTTTTGGGAAAGGCTTTTGAAGGAAAGCTGCCTGTAAGTGGAGTTCCGTCGTTTGCACCTCAAACACCTGATTTGCCAATATTTCGGGCAGATTTTCTACATACCTTCCAGCACCTTTGACAAGTGTGCTTTTGTGTGTGTTACTTAACTCCTTTATAAGTAGCCTAAGGAGTGATTAGGCAAGTACAAGTACCCTAAACTTGTTAGTACTTCAAATTAAATGCTCTTGGAAGATTTAGTGGTTTCATTTTTGGTTGGCAGTGGCGCGATTTAAGATGTGTTGGTGTATTTTTAAGTGTAAATCATGGCATTCCATCTTCCTGAGTTGACGTCAGGCTTGATTTTTTTTATACGTGGGGAATCTCATCACTTGATTTTTTTGTTAGCTGTACTCTCACGTGGGTCCCATTTCGTAATGCACATCTGGTAATTAAGTTCGAAAAGGGAATGATTTGTTTGCAGATTTTCTATCCGCCATTCATCACGGGTCAGTCTAGGTCGTATGTGTCTTGATGTCGTTTTCTTACCTTCAGGTGTCGACTATCCCCGATCTCTATCCTGTGATTGCTCTGGATGGACAGGGCTGTCGCGTTACTTCAAATTTCGGTGATCAGTCATTTTTCTATCCCTTCAAACGTCACATCGCCAAGGAGCGGGAGGCGCATGAGAATAGACTTGTTCAGGCTCTGAGCAAGGATTTCATGGACGTTAAAATGAGAGAGTAAGAAGTCTTGGTTATGGAATTCGATGTCAGATTTTTACTCACACCTTTAACGGATGCTCTCTGAGTACTTGCTTTCTGCCATTAAGCATATCATGCGTTTAGTTGATAGCGTTTCTTCAAAGCAAATGCAACCACAAGTGGCACATCGTGTTGGGGGTCAGTGATAGTATTTATATGGCCCGGGAAAGGCGTTTGAGCGGCAAATTGCACGTCGTGCGTGAATTCATCTAAACGGAAATTGTGTCTGGTGCTCTCATATAACAGGTTTAAAACCTGTTGTACTGATGCTAGAAGGGCAGTGCATTGGCATCATCCACGGTTTTGACGGCTGGTTGATGAGCGAATTTATTACTCGCTGTAGGCAAACTGGAATGTCACTTCACAATGCCAAACACTTCTCATTTGTACCGTTTAGGTCTGCTAAATGTATGCGTGCTTATTGTGGGGATGTAAATGCATTCAACATCATCATGCATTTATTTTTGTGCACGTTTGCGATTCGGGGCATTTATGTGAGCTCCTTTTAGATGTGCAAATTTTACCGACTTTCTTGCTTATCCAGAAATTTACATGGACTGCACGCAATCAAAGTTGGTACTTTAAAACTAGCATTGTTTAACTTGACGGAATTGAATAAACCTTTTAACGTGACCAAAAGTTCATCATGTTGTTTTTGATACATCCCGTTCTAATCACCTGTTCTTATTTCTATGAGTCTAAAAAATGCACATAATTGTTTATGTAAATGTATTATAAGGCATTAGGGAAATGTAGGTCGCTTTGTTGATACAATGCTCGTTCGCTGTTCTTTTTTCCACTGTGCGGCATCCCTAAACGCGATTAGGAAACATCTACCATGAGCATGGGGATCTGAGAGCCTCCGAAGGTAAGAACGTAGAAGTTTTTGCTGAATGGGTTGCTTGGCACTCGTAGATGTGGTGGTAGACTGTCGCGCAACTCAGAGGTAGTCAGAAAGTGTGCTTCGGGCGATGAGTCATTCAAAAGGAAGTAGTTTGCCTTCAGGGAGACTTTCCATTCTTGGTTACCCTATGGCCTACGCATCCCCTTTTTACTCCAAATTTCATTGCCTCTATTTTTTATTTCCTTTAATGTCCATTTCGATACCCTTTTTGTTTGCGTTTTGATGGTGGTGGGTGTGACACTCCACCTACCGCCTTCGTAACAGATGGTAGCCTTCGTTGTCACGTTCGCCTCAGTGTTACCAGGTTTAATACACACTAACTTCACATTTGTGTGGCATATCAATCCGCTTTCATGATGCGTGGTTGCCTCTTCGCGATTCTCCGTTGTACCAACATGATTGATCGCGACCAAAACACTAAAATCGTTTTAAGGCACTCTTGGCTTGAAGGTGATTCCACACTTAATTTATGGGTAGCTCACCTTTATGTCGAGTGCACCTTTTCCGGTGCGATGGTCAAGACCGAAAGTGTCTAATACCTTGCCATTTTCACAGTGCTTAAGTTAGTCGCTTTATGTCTTGGGTGTGCGGCGCCGCAATTTTAACCGATCAGGATGTTTGGTAAATCGGCACGTAAAGTGTTTGTTGTTGATCTTGTGTGATTGCCAACGTTTGTGGACCAGGGACACCCTCCACCTTTTCCAGTTGTTTTGGCCTCAATAAGTCGCTCGAAAATACAGCTTTGTGCGACTATTGGGTTATTGCAAATGAGTAAAGAAGACGTCACACACACATACACGTATTTGTGACTTCGGAGTTAGGTGAGAAAATCGAGGCGTCGCTTATGCGAGTTTGGCGGTGAACTTCACATTTCCAAATTCCATGGGGTGTGGAAAAAAGGTTAAGGTGTTATTCGTTTTCCTTTTTACTCGGAAATCGCGGCAGATGCTAAAAGGCATGGGAGTGGGGGCGTTCGATGTCGCTTCTAGCTGGGAGGCCAAAAACGGCCAGGACGGTGATACTGCTTATCGTGACATTGGATTAATGGGACGAATTTCAGCGTTTTTTTGTAGCGCTTTTACAGTCTCACAGTGAATCCGATCAACTTACAGGCCGACCGCTGGGTGTGGCAGTCAATTATAGTTTAATTACAACAAAGTTCACAATTCATGCCTCTGTGCCAGTCCTTCACTATTCTTGCTATTCATTTATTGTGTTACCTTGTGATCTCGTTGCAATTCTGTCGCCCCCTTGTG